CCGAGACTGTTCAACTGCCTCCCAGCACACATAAGGGGGATTACCAACAGACCCCTGGCAGTCTTCAAGCTGGCACTGGACAAGCACCTAAAGTCAGTTCCTGATCAGCCGGGCTGTGGCTCGTACGTTGGTTTGCGTGCAGCCAGCAGCAACAGCCTGGTTGATCAGGCGCTGATCCACCAGGAGGACTGGTCACAGACCGGGCCGCGGGGGCGTTGACCCCCGAAACTCTCTCCAGGTAAACTCCAGGTCACTACTGTAGATATATTGGCCTCTTTAAGACACACTTATTCTTTGCCTTCGCCTGTATGAGCACCTTTCTCTTTCTAGTTTACATCTCCTTTTCCTTAAAGAAATGTGCCTTGAGCATACAACAAGTGCCACAGATTTAATTTGTTCTAGACATAGGTTTGGATCCATGTTGCTTAGGCTTTCTTCCCAGTTTATATCATTTAGGACTTGGTTTACTTGGTCCCACCTTGGGTTGTCTTAGCCATATAATTGCAGTGATAGCTGCTAAGTCATCCTATTATCAGAAGCACTATACCCATAGGAGTCACAGTGCCTGGGGATTTTTTTTTTTTTTTTGACCCAAGAGGACAAGTCCAATTCCTTGGATTAAGAGCCCTCTACTGGCATCAAGGCACCTCCTTTGAGGGGTGAATAGATAACAGGGTTGATATTGCTATTATTGAATTCATGGGAGAATGTTAAACTGTAAGGGGTAATCCGTTCCAGGTCGGCCTATAACTGAAATGGCCGAAAACCGAATTAACATTTCCCGTATGAATTAATGGAAATACAATTAATCTCTTCCAGACAAAAATATTCCAAAAGAAAAATTTTTTTTAAGTCATATATGTATTATAATAGGTAGTAGGCTGGTAGACAGAAACCACCCAGGGAGGTACTACCGTCCTGCCAAATGAGTGTAAAATGAAAGCCTGTAATTGTTTTACATGATGGTAGGTTTGCTGGTGTCCAATTTTCTGTCTCATGAACATGCAAGGTTTCAGGTATGTCTTGCTACTTCTACTAACACTTAGGTCACACTACACATACATGTTCGAGCATATATATGCACACCCCTCTGGGTTTTCTGCTATTTTCTTACTAGTTCTTGTTCTTGTTTATTTCCTCTTATCTCCATGGGGAAGTGGAACAGAATTCTTCCTCCGTAAGCCATGCATGTTGTAAGAGGCGACTAAAATGCCGGGAGCTAGGGGCTAGTAACCCCTTCTCCTGTATATATTACTAAATGTACAAAGAGAAGCTTTCGTTTCTCCTTTTGGGCCACCCCGCCTTGGTGGGATACGGCTGGTGTGTTGAAAGAAAGAATATGTATTATATACCTTTATTGAAGGCTAATGCTGGATTCTGGAAGATAGGGAGAAGAAAGAGGGAGTTAGTGTTTGGAAGGAGAATCCCCCTTCATATAGACTTCAGGTACCAAAACCTCTGGGGTAACTTCCCTTCTTTGTCTTTTAATGCCACTAGGACCAGCTTGAGAGTTACTGGACCCCTGTTGCACAAAATAACTGTCAAGAGTGCTCTGTTTTTGGCATCTCTTAAGATCTCCCTGAAGTGAGACAGGGTTTTGTCACTGAACATGTTGCAGATATGGCTTGTTTCAGCTTTGTCAGGGTGGTACTTCTTGACAAAACTTTGCACATCATTCCACTTTGCACAAATGTTCTTAATCACTGAAGAAGGCACCTCCTTCACTCCCTCTTCCTCCTCCTCTGAAGCAAGTTCCTCAGCTGCAGTCTGTTGCTGTTCGAGTTGAAGCTCTTGTGCTCTTCAGTGGTTAGCTCTTCCCTGTGGTCCTCCAACTCTTCCACATCCTCACCACTCACCTCCAACCCCAGGGACTTCCCCAGTGCCACAATAGAGTCCACAGGGCCAGCAGGGTCAGGGTCAGCCTCAAACCCTTCAAAATCCCTCTCTTGGACACAATTTGGCCAGTTTTCTCCAAGCAGAATTTAAAGTCCTGGAAATCACTCCCTCCCAAGCCTTACCTATAAGGCTTATGCAATGGAGGATAGTGAAGTGATTTCTCCAGAACTCTCGGGGTCAACTGAGTGTCTGAGGTCACTTCAAAGCACTTTTGAAACAATGCTTTTGTGTAGAGTTTTTTGAAGTTAGAAATGACCTGCTGGTCAATGGGCTGGAGGAGAGGAGTGGTGTTAGGAGGCAAAAACTTCACTGTGATGAAATTTAAGTCCCTAAACACTTGGTCTTGGATGTCTGGAGTATGTGCAGGAGCATTGTCCAGTAGCAGGAGGCACTTGAGTGGCAATTTCTTTTCCAGGAGGTATTTTTTCACACTTGGGGCAAACACATCATTAACCCACTCTTTGAAAATCTGCCTTGTGGCTCGTGCCTTATGATTAACTTTCCATATCACACACAATCTATTCTTCATAGCATTGTTTTTCTTGAACACACTGGGATTTTCCGAGTGATACACCAGTAAAGGCTTCACTTTGAAATCCCCACTAGCATTACCACACAAAAGAGTAAGCCTGTGTCCTGGCAGTGCCTTTTCCTCCTGGGTAATGTAGGTCCTGTTTGGCTTTTTCTTCCAAAACAGGCCTCTTTCATCACAATTAAACACTTGTTGGGGTTCGAATTCTTCAGCCTTTACATAGTCCTGGAATTTGTGAACATACTTTCCAGCTGCACATTTGTCAGAACTTGCAGCCTCACCATTCCTTACAACACTGTATGCCACTATGCTTCTTAAATCTATCAAACCATCCTTTGCTGGCCCTAAATTCACAAACTGCCAAAATTCTTCCAGCATTTTCTTTTGCAAGCATCCTCATCCAATTGCCTTGCTTATCACAATATATCGGAATCCACAACACTGTTCACCCTAATTCATTTCCTTAATTCGAATATAATACTTTCCCAATCCTTCCATATAGCCTGCCATTGTTTAGTTAGAAAAGTTATTCCTTTCACAACATTAGCATCCTTGATTTGTTCTTTCTTTGCCAGGATGGAAGTGATGGTAGAGTTATTTTTCCCAAACATCCTGGCAAGTTCCAGCACCCGCATACCCCTCGCGTATTTATCAACCACTTCATGCTTAAATTCCATGGTGTTTCTCACTTTCTTTACCGCAGGAACTTTCTTTGGAGCCATGGTGACTTTTTTCACAGTTCCACTGCAAAAAAACACTAAAAACAATGGAAAACAAGCGAAATGTTTGGATGCATGAGTAGAAGGTTCCTTACACACCGAGAGACAAAGCCAGACTGACATGCAAGGTCCCAGCTGGCGGAAGGACGCGTCCCAAACGGCCGATCACCGAATTAACAGTCGATAACTGGGCACTGAAAACCGGCCAATCACCAAGTTGGCCAATAACAGAAGCGGCCGATAACCGGGGGTCCACTAAGTCACTGACTTTTTTGGGTTATCCTAGGTAATTAAACATATGTTACTATACCTGGAGTATGATAATTTATGTAACTGTATTTATGTGTACCAGTACCTGAATAAACTTATTCCCTGAAGGGGCTAGGTAGCTTGAGATTGTAGATTGCATTTCATAAAGCACTATACCAGTATGGGTAATTTGGTGCAAGATGTGGAGGCTTGATCCTGCCCCGTGGTCTGGTGGCTAAAGCTCTTGCTTCACACCGCAAGGGTCTGGGTTCGATTCCCAGCGAGGGTAGAAACATTGGGTGTGTTTCCTTATACCAGTTGTCTATGTTCCCCATCAGTAAAATGGGTACCTGGATGTTAGTCAACTAGTGGGGGTTGCTTCCTGGGACAAGACTGACCTAATTTGCCGAAATGCCCTGCATAACAAGCGGCTTTCTATGTAGTAGTGTACATATGTCACTGATGTCGGCTATGGTGTGTATACCCTGTACATGTACGTACCTTTAGAAATGAAGATATTATTATTATTATTTGCTAATTAGAGGGGTACTTTTATATTAAGTATGACTATCTGGTGGAAGTGCTAAGCCCATAAGGGTCATAGAGTGCCTAGGAAAGTGGGAGGTAGTCAGATTCAATCTAAGGAAATTGACGGTAACCTAAGAAAAAATCTCAACAGAAACCACAACAATTCAGTTATATATTGTCGTTAGTTTCATTCTACATATCACATCTATACAGTTATTATCAGAGAACTAAGCCTGCAGGGGTGAAACAGTGCCTTGGGAATAAGGCAATAAGGAGTTGATCTAAGAGGATAAGCTCATTCCAGAGATTAAAGGGGTCATGTGGAATTTGAGGCAATCAGGTATGATCCAGTTCAGGAAAGGGTAGCTCCAATTCATAGGAATAAGAACCCTTCACCAGCACAAGGGATCTTCCTTCCAGGTGTTAATTATTATGTAACATTTAATCGGGGATACAAGAGAATTCAAATGTTGAATGTATGCTGTGGCAGCTTTCTTGGACAGTACAGGATTTGTAAACAGAAGATTTTTATAGACTTCATTTTCAAAAATGTGAAATATTAAAAAAAATGTGCTAAAAACAATAAAACCATTTGGGAAGTACATACAGTACGTATATGAATTTTTAAATGCCTAAAGATTCTAAGAATACAGTGGACCCCCGGTTAACGAACTTTTTTCATTCCAGTAGTATGTTCAGGTGCCAGTACTGACCGAATTTTTTCCCATAAGGAATATTGTGAAGTAGATTAGTCCATTTCAGACCCCCAAACATACACCTACAAATGCACTTACATAAATACACTTACATAATTGGTCGCATTTGGAGGTGATCGTTAAGCGGGGGTCCACTGTATTGTTATAATTAAGACTTAGATTCTGAAATCCAAGCTAGGAACACCATTAAAGATATGATCATAATTAACAATCTGAAACTAGCATTAGATATATGTATGAAGTTCGTTTTGAGTTAAAAATAATTACAGCATACAATATTATACAATAAATGCTTATTTAATTATAAGTAAATATAGTATACTGCAGTTTCATCATAATTTTGTTAATAAAATTTCCACATAACTGAGTATGGCAATATTTAATTTCATGTCTTCATAATACAATATACTTAAGGGTTACTCAAATACATATCTGAAGTACAGTACTGTGTTCTACAAAGAAAATACAAGCTATAAAACTATGTAAACACTCTTTGCTTGTAGCAAACTCAATCCAGAAATTATGAAGTTACTTTAATTACAGAGTTCAAATACTGTGCTAAGAGCTTGGGTTGACCTGGAACATAGGTCTGGAGTTGTGAAATATCCATGGTGGTAAGCTTCTCTTGCAGTGTGTTGGGGTAACAAAAAAAGCAGAACCCACTGTCAGCAAGTTGCTCTGCAAGTTCAGTTTGGTGGTTGGCCATCAGTGTGTTGTTGACTACAGCTACCAAGGGTTTGCCTGCCCCTAGTGCCTCCAAGCAAGACCCAGCACCTGCATGACTTATCACAAGATCTGCTGTAGCAAAATCCACGTCAATGGATGGTTTCAACCGAAAATGAGTTACTGTGACTCCGTGGAATTCTCCATCTTGTGGTATGAATTCTCCTTGTCCGATTTGAAGTGTAACTTTGGTGTACCCTTTTTCTCGTAAAATGGCCAGAGTATCTTCCTCAGTAATAGCTTGAATTAAGGCATCAAAACGAGTAGTGCCAACAGTGACAAACACTGTCTTCCCTTCCATGTTTCTTACAGTGTGATTTTTATGACTGCCATTATACCTTATTCCTCTTCTTCAGCCAACTCGTTAGTAACCACAGCCTCACACACCTGGGATTTGGGATGAGCAAGCTGTGAGTGTTTATATGTATTTGCATAATATTGTATTATACAGACCTGTGTACTACTGTGATAAGCAGCTTTATGCATGTAATTCAAGGAGAAAACTACCTTAAAAGGTTTACTTAAGCAAGTTAAATTCTTGATAACACAACTACACTAATTCATTTAAAGCAAAAGCCAGAATGAAATTCACATTATTCTTATTTTTATACATATAATTTTTATTATACAGTGGACCCTCGCATAACGCTATTAATCCGTTCCTGAGAGCTCAATGTTACGCGAAATTATCGTTATGCGAATTAATTTTCCCCATAAGAAATAATGGAAATCAAATTAATCCGTGCAAGACACCCAAAAGTATGAAAAAAAAATTTTTTTACCACATGAAATATTAATTGGTCGCAAACTTAAGAAGACATGCACAGTTACATGACACTTACCTTTATTGAAGATCTGGTGATGATTGATGGGATGGGAGGAGGGGAGAGTGTTGATGGTCTTAGTGTTTAGAAGGGGAATCCCCTTCCATTAGGACTTGAGGTAGCAAGTCCTTTTCCGGGGTTACTTCCCTTCTTTTAATGCCACTAGGACCAGCTTCAGAGTCACTGGACTTCTGTCGCACAACATATCTGTCCATAGAGGTCTGTACCTCTCGTTCCTTTATGACTTTCCTAAAGTGGTTCACAACACTGTCAGTGTACAGGTTGCCAACACGGCTTGCAACAGCTGTCTGAGGGTGATTTTCATCCATAAAGGTTTGCACTTTAAGCCACATTGCACAGATTTCCTTAATCTTTGAAGTAGGCAACTTCTTCAATTACTCTCTCCCCTCCTCCGAAGCAGTTTCCTCAGGTGTGGTCTCATGCTGATGAAGATGATCTAGCAGCTCATCAGTGGCTAGTTCTTCATTGTCCTCCTCCACCAACTCTTCCACATCCTCCCCACTAGCCTCCAACCCCAAGGACTTCCCCAATGCCACAATTGATTCCTCAACTGGCATACGCCTCTCAGGGTTAGCCTCAAATCCTTCAAAATCCCTTTGGTCTACACATTCAGGCCACAGTTTCTTCCAAGCAGAGTTCAAGGTCCTCTTAGTCACTCCCTCCCAAGCCTTACCTATAAGGTTTACACAATTGAGGATATTAAAGTGATCTCTCCAAAACTCTCTTAGAGTCAATTGAGTTTCTGAGGTCACTGCAAAGCACCTTTCAGAGCTTTTGTGTACAGTTTTTGAAGTTTGCAATAACCTGCTGGTCCATGGGCTGCAGGAGAGAAGTGGTATTAGGAGGCAAAAACTTGACCTTAATGAAGCTCATGTCCCCACAAAGTCGCTCTGCCAAGTCTGTAGGATGACCAGGGGCATTGTCTAACACCAGGAGGCACTTAAGGTCTAATTTCTTTTCAGTTAGGTAATTTTTCACAGTGGGGGCAAATGCTTGGTGTAACCAGTCATAGAAGAAGTCCCTAGTGACCCCATGCCTTACTGTTTGCCCTCCACAGCACACACAAATTAGCCTTGAGGATATTCTTTTGCCTGAATGCTCTGGGAGTTTCAGAGTGATACACTAATAAAGGCTTCACTTTGCAAACACCACTAGCATTGGCACACATTAACAGAGTAAGCCTGTCTTTCATAGGCTTATGTCCTGGGAGTGCCTTTTCCTCCTGAGTAATGTAGGTCCTGCTTGGCATTTTCTTCCAAAACAGGCCTGTTTCATCACAATTAAACACCTGTTTAGGTTTCAGTCCTGCACAGTCTATGTACTCCTTGAATTCCTGCACATATTTTTCAGCTGCTTTGTGGTGCGAACTGGCAGCCTCACCATGCCTTATCACACTATGTATGCCACTACGCTTCTTAAATCTCTCAAACCAACCTTTGCTGGCCTTAAATTCACTCACATCATCACTAGTTGCAGGCATTTTTCTAATTAAATCCTGATGCAACTTCCTAGCCTTTTCACTTATGATCGCTTGAGAGATGCTATCTCCTGCTATCTGTTTTTCGTTTATCCACGCCAATAAGAGTCTCTCAACATCTTCTATCGCTTGCGATCTCTCTTTCGAAGACACAGTTGAACCTTTGGCAAGAACAGCTTCCTTGATTGCCGTTTTCTTGGACACAATAGTAGCGATGGTTGATTGGGGTTTACTATACAACCTGGCCAGCTCGGAGACACGTACTCCACTTTCATACTTAGGAATGATCTCTTTCTTCATCTCTATAGTAATTCTCACCCTTATTCCTGTAGGGTTGGCACTAGAAGCTTTCTTGGGGCCCATGGTCACTTATTTTGCAGATGAAATCACCAAAAACGCTGTAATAATACGAAATGTTCCGATTGTATGCTTGGATGTTACCGCGGAGGCTGGCTTGTAAACAATGCCACCGGCGGAACATGTGAGGCTGGCTCAGGCTGCACATTAGACGCGTCTCGGACGAATAGTGTTGAGCGAGCTTTTTAGCAGTATGCGAGGCAAAATTTTAGCGATAAAATGTATCGGTACGCGGATTCAACGTTATGTGATGCCAACAGTATGCGAGGGTCCACTGTACTATATTTAAAAAAGAAACCTGAGAATTAAAAGGTTCTGTGTATTAATCTATGCTAAATCTATTCACTAAATCCCCTAAAATCAAAGAAAAACTTAGTATGTATGTATATATATATATATATATACTGTATATATGAATATATATGAATATATGGATTTATGAAAGATGAGGTTAATCATAGAATTGATGAAGGAAAAAAGGTGAGTGGTGCGTTGAGGTATATGTGGAGTCAAAAAACGTTATCTATGGAGGCAAAGAAGGGAATGTATGAAAGTATAGTAGTACCAACACTCTTATATGGGTGTGAAGCTTGGGTGGTAAATGCAGCAGCGAGGAGACGGTTGGAGGCAGTGGAGATGTCCTGTCTAAGGGCAATGTGTGGTGTAAATATTATGCAGAAAATTCGGTGTGTGGAAATTAGGAAAAGGTGTGGAGTTAATAAAAGTATTAGTCAGAGGGCAGAAGAGGGATTGTTGAGGTGGTTTGGTCGTTTAGAGAGAATGGATCATAGCAGAATGATATGGAAAGCATATAAATCTATAGGGGAAGGAAGGCGGGGTAAGGGTCACCCTCGAAAGGGTTGGAGAGAGGGGGTAAAGGAGGTTTTGTGGGCGAGGGGCTTGGACTTCCAGCAAGCGTGCGTGAGCGTGTTAGATAGGAGTGAATGGAGACGAATGGTACTTGGGACCTGACGATCTGTTGGAGTGTGAGCAGGGTAATATTTAGTGAAGGGATTCAGGGAAACCTGTTATTTTCATATAGTCGGACTTGAGCCCTGGAAATGGGAAGTACAATGCCTGCACTTTAAAGGAGGGGGTTGGGATATTGGCAGTTTGGAGGGATATGTTGTGTATCTTTATACGTATATGCTTCTAAACTGTTGTATTCTGGGCACCTCTGCAAAAACAGTGATAGTGTGTGAGTGTGGTGAAAGTGTTGAATGATGATGAAAGTATTTTCTTTTTGGGGATTTTCTTTCTTTTTTGGGTCACCCTGTTTCGGTGGGAGACGGCCAACTTGTTGGAAAAAAAAAAAAAAAAAAAAAATATATATATATATATATATTATATATATATATATATATATATATAATATATATATATATATAATATATATATATATATATATATATATATATATATATATATATATATATTTTATATATATATATATCAGTGGACCCCCGGTATTTGATGGCATCGGTATACGTTAAATTCGGTATTCGATACATTTTAACACAAAAATTTTGCCTCACCACTCGTTAAAATACTCGTTAAAATACTCGATTCGTCCGGGACGCGTCCACGTGAGTGCCAGTGTTTACAAGTCAGCCAGTGTGCTTGCATCTAAGCATACATTCGGTACATTCCATATTATCACAGTGTTTTTGGTGCTTGTTTCTGCAAAATAAGTCACCGTGGACCCCAAGAAAGCTTCTAGTGCCATTCCTGTGGTAAAAAGAGTGAGAATTAGTATGGAAATTAAGAAAGATTTTGAAGGGTTTGGGGCTAACCCTGGGAAGCCTATGCCAGTTGTGGAATCCATTGTGCCTACTTCAAAAATTAAGGAAATGTGTGCAATGTGGGTTGAACTGCAAACCTTTATGGATGAAAATCACCCTAACACAGCTATTACAAGCCGTGTTAGTAACTATTACAATGACAATGTTGCGACTCATTTTAGACAAATCATAAAGGAATGGGAGGTACAGAGCTCTATGGACAGATTTGTTGTGCAACAGAGGTCCAGTGACTCTCAAGCTGGTCCTAGTGGCATTAAAAGAAGGGAAGTAACCCCGGAAAAGGACTTGCTACCTCAAGTCCTAATGGAAGGGGATTCCCCTTCTAAACAATAAGTTTGACACTCTCCCCTCCTCCCATCCCATCAATCATCACCAGATCTTCAATAAAGGTAAGTGTCATGTATTCTATTGTTAGTAGAGTACTACTAACTGTGCATGTCTTCTTCAGTTTGTGTGCATTAAACTTAATATTTCATGTGGCAAAACATTTTTTTTCGTAGTACATTTGGGTGTCTTGCACGGATTAATTTGATTTCCATTATTTCTTATGGGGAAAATTAATTCGCCTTCCGATAATTTTTGACATACGATGAGCTCTCAGGAATGGATTAATATCGTATACTGGGGGTCCACTGTGTGTGTGTATGTGTAATTATATATATATATATATAATAATATATATATATATATATATATATATATATATATATATATATATATATATATATATATATATATATATATATATATATAATATATATAACACACACACACACACACACACACACACACAGCATATATGTACAGTGGACCCTCGAATTTAGTCGTGCCTTTTCTGCATGCAAAACTATTTTTATCTATAAAATGTATTTTTTTTGTTAATATTTTTGGGTGTCTGGAATGGTT